GTTGAAAACTGGGGGGATAAATGTGAAGTTGAAATGGGATCATACGGAAGCAAAAGCGTAAGAGGGTGAATCAGAAGACGGATAGGCTTGACCGATAGCATCCAAACTCCTATCCACGCTGTTCGATGCAGCAGATAGGGCACGGTTCATTAGCTTCTGCGGTGGCCAGAGCATCAGGAAATCGTTTGACAAAATATTCATATCGGTAAGGCTGAGAGAAGACAGAGGTTGCGATATGTCAACATTTCGATTGTTCTCTTCAGTCGCAAACACTATACGAGCAGAAACACACAAGGGATTATATTCGTGGAAAAAATAAGCACCACCAATCAAAATGTCACAGTCAAGACCATGGCAACCGAATTGATTGCCTCAAGAGTTTCTGTGCACATAGCACAGGTTGATAAGCCTTAATTAACAACGCCTCACTAATTGCTAGCATTATCGGGTTTTTGTCTCCTAGTGAGTATATCCAAAAGCGCCAGGCAGGCTGTAGGTACGTTGCAACGCACTGTTCACCACAAATCGATTTGGAGTGGACAGTACCTTCATTTTTCAAGCTTCGCCCCGATCGCACACAAACGCGGCTTAGTGAGAACTCTCTTCTACCGGGCTAGACGTATTTGCAGCCCCGAAACGTTACAAGCCGAAGAAGAAATTCTACGCAAGACTTTTATTTATAATGGACATTCTGGGAAGTTTATTCTGGTACACAGCAGACCTCCCAGTGTGAAGACACTAGTACGGACGGCTGAGAAAAAGGATGTTTATTTGCTCTTGCCGTTCAAGGGGGACCATGTGGCAAATAATATCGGACGGAAGCTCAGTCCTCCCTAACGCGAACATACACGACAGCCCAGTTGCGACTCAGGCGTACCACGCGAGGACTTGTTCTTCATAACTGTCAGGGCATCTCGTCGGGTAGTTCGGCCTCTCACGTTGTTTATCAGTTCACCTGCGGTTGCGGCGACATTCACATAGGTAGAACAAACCGTCAGTTAGCTCAGAGGGTAGCTGAACACTTGCCAAAGTGGTGGGGACAAGTGATTACGCAATGACATGGGACGAATCTGAGAATCAATCGGAGCCCGGCATCGTCTATCACCAAGCACCTCATGACAACCCGTCATCATGTGAACCCCGAGACAGCGTACAAAGTGTTATTACGTAACAAAAACCTGATAATGCTAGCAATTAGTGAGGCGTTGTAAATTAAGGCTTATCAACCTGTGCTATGTGCACAGAAACTCTTAAGACAATCAATTCGGTTGCCATGGTCTTGACTGTGACATTTTGATTGGTGGTGCTTATTTTTTCCATGTATATAATCCCTTGTGTTTCTGCTCGTATTGTGTTTGCGACTGAAGAGAACAATCGAAATGTTGACATATCGCAACCTCTGTCTTCTCTCTGCCTTAACGAAATGGCTGAAGGGGACCCATTGTTTTAATTTTCTGAAATATTCATAGTATTGCGTGGGCAGGATACTGTCAGGTTGCCCATGCCTAGACAGGAGAACGATTAGGGTCTTCAACAAAAGCCTTTGGTTCAAAAACCTGACTGCAAGGCAGCGGGTTTGGCATTGGGCTACAAGGAGTCCGTTTTAATGAATAAGGTGCCACCCTCATTCCAACCCCCAACCTGGAGGACCAGGAGGCTGAGTTTGTCTGGCCTCTAACCATTGACCAATCTGGTATGAGTGGCTTTGAAGGTGCAGAAGCACCACCCAGCATAGCTTAATGGATCACTGAGACACACAAACCATCGCACGACGGTAAGGTCCAGGCTCATCGCGCTGGGCTCAAATATGCTGAGTAGAGTGTACCACTTCTCGCTTGCTACTAAATTTTTCCTACTACGATACCGCTGTTTTCATTTCCCTTGGGTGTAACAATCCTTACTTAAGGAAGATGATTACGTGTTGCGCAACAGAAATAGCATATCTGAGTTTCCGCATTTACCCAACACCAAAGGCAGTCCATCTGGATCACAAAAGGAAAAGGGTATAGACGCCGGTTCATGGATACACTCCTTCGTCAACCAAAGTTTACATCATGGAAGCGGGTACTTGTGAGTGATGGTCATCATCATCACCAGCAGCAGTACACCAGCCATTTGAACTGTTGCTTCGTTTCCGCGTAACTACGGGGACCCAATGGATGAAGAGTAATAAGTTGGAGAGTAGGGGGACCTTGTGTAAATCCTAAGCGCCCTAAACAGAGATTCAGGGCCAAAGGGCTTGCACCTGGTCAAAAACATACCATCACAAATAGCCATCTATCGTGCAAACATATCAGCATCATAGTGGGCTCCAGTCTGGGCAGCGAAACGGACATACACCACCCACTTTTGTTGTCAGGGACTTTATTTCTTTCTGCCAGATCAAACTTTTTCCCACCTGGAACATTTCACCATCCTACTTCTGGCACACAAAACAAAACCCTCCTGGGTAAGGGGTGACCGGGCATGCGTCGTACATGCCTAAGGCAACACAACGTAAATGACGCATAGTATAGTTCGTTAGTCGGTGCCCATGTAACTAATGATTTCGCGAACTATGAATTAACTGCTTCTCAATTAGAAACAGACCTGTCAAAGTGTGTTTTATCAGACATTAATACTTTGCAACTTCCTGTGCAATGAAGTCTAGAAAGGTTCGCTTCTTTATCACAGGCTGATAGTTTTGCGATCGTTAAGTAAAACTTAAGGCGCACTCTTATCTTTTTTACATGACCCATTGCCGCATCAGCGATTGATAGTTCTATATACTCCCGAATTTGCTGTAATTTACATTACTTCCTCTTCACAACCCTACTACGTCCTCGATTGTTTCATTCCTTTGTCTGCAATGAAGCAATTAACTCTATGTATTTGTAAGTTGTAGTAAAATAGGTTAACTGCTTTCTGTGAGCATAAGGACATAAATGATCTGTCCCAATTGGTAGATCGTAGTAAAACAAGGAAAATACTTCTAATTGCTTAGGCCGAATTAATGAAAATTTTTGGTTTGTCGTAATGTTTCAACCACGTTTAAAAACAATGTTTTACCATTCGGGAACGGCTCCCTGAAAAATAGTCCAATATGCTCTTTTCGGTTGAAGGAATCCGTCTCGTTACTGTTGTATCTCCCACACTTTTCCACTTCTGAGGATTCCACCTTTTGTTGCCAACCATCAAGCCACAGGCAAAACAGAAACCCCCGAAATCTGTTTGATGCGATGCCACCTGTCAAATTTATCTGGGACACCCACTAAAATGGTAGACGGTTCAGTTACTTTAGGAGCTCTGTCACTTCTGGTGGACACATCATTGAGCTTATTTCACGTATTAGGAAAGTCCTGAGGCTTTTTAGAAACTCAGCCATCTGTGGACACCGCGTGATATCAGCCTGTCAGTGAGTGCTAAGGTTCATAACCGCGATAAGACCGCTGTTACTATATGGATCCTTAGCATACCCTGTCCTCACAGATGGACGGTCACTCGCGGGGGCAAAAAGTACAAGATATGATGCAATATGTCCAGATATGTTGTCACATATTATACTGCATCATGAACACCGCCAGCCTTTACCTATAAGCCTTTACTTTTTAATGAAATCGCATTTCTCATCACCGCGACTGACCGACACATTGCCGCTGCAGTGAACGTTGGAGCGCCCTGAGTGACCATTTTTTATGCCCCTGTCCGTCCCAGTGAGGCACATTTGGGACGAATTTTGGTCACTCAAGACATTTTCTGTTTAACCTTGCGGATTTATTATTGTGTACTTGCGATTTGGGAGTCAATTTCCACTTATTGTTAACAGCATTTGCAACCAGAAAACTGCATTTACCATATGTCAAGTGTGCGCTGGAAATTCGTCCCAAATGTGTCTTACTGGGACTGTCAGAAGTGTAAAAAAACGGTCACTCAAAACGCTCCAACGGTCATTCCAGCGGACATTTTTCGATCACTATTATGCGGAGATTGCCTTTTCACTCGAGGACAGCTATCCATTTTTGATTGTTTATGCTAGTGTCATATTGCTTGCATCCGTTGGTAACACTCCATGTACATGGTGTTTGTGATGAGACGCGTAGATGTCGAACTGGATCGTCTGTTGGACTCGAACCACTAATGTCTGTCAAATGATCCCTCCCTTTGTACCTGTAACTGGCGTTCTTGACGTGCAGTACTTACACGCTGCACTTATTTAAAGGAGACCGCGGGTTGGTAAGTCGATTAGTTGGCATGAAGAAATTGACTGCGAGGCTCTACCAGGCTGCTACTTGTCATATTCGCGGGCAGACGTCTCGGGAGGTGCCACCTCGGTTGTTGGAGACTATCACATACGACTTTCTTGCTCTCGATTTCATATATCTAGTTGCCAGCCCACTATATTGGATAATTTTGCCCACTTTTCTACTCCATTTTTACATTCCGTTCACGTTACACATTACTGTTATTGTTTCCGTGGTGGCGCCAACCATTGAAATCCGGTCCACCGCATTTCGACACTCGATTGATAACTTAGCTGAAATGAACTGGACTTTTTCTTATGGTTGAGATCTAAGGGGGGTGTTGGTATTTATTTTGTTTGACTTCAATCAATGATTCGAGTAGATACGCGAAACCTTGATGCACATCAAGGCCCGTTCCCGTGGCGATGATGTTACTCGGGCGAGGTACATTGGCGTGGAGTTGCGGTCAGTTCATCCCATCCAAACGTGGAACCAGCACTACTACTTGCAAGCGTTCCGTTTCCATAAATATCGATCTGTGCGGTGGAAATAACATTCTTATCAGTGCGTCGTTCTGTTATAGGCGAGTTCGATGCGAACCTCTCATTTCAGTGTCGATTAAATGTTTGCAAATTTTACAAACTATCTCCCGTAGATGTCCGCGGATGCTATATGGTAAATGGATTAGTGTGCATATTTACTGATATATTGATTCCCTAAACTACGACACGGATTGTTGCCATTCATTTTTTCACTTTTTCTTGCATCTGTTTACCACAGTCAATCCTTGCTTATTGAACAAAGACGCATACTTTCACTGCTGCGAGGGCCAGATGGAAACCAGTTAAAGTCCTCCGATTGGGGTGTGAAGTTGACGCAGGATGGTGAAGTCGTGGTGGTTGCTGTTGGTCGTTGATCCCCACGATCTGTTCTCACGATGAACATTGGCAACACATACCACTGATTATCTACCGTTCTCTGTAGTCATACGTGCCCTCAGGATTTATGTTATTCCTGTATGCTGTGCAGCACTCTTGGTCACTGGCACTTCTTAGTGATATGCAACCCCGTCACGCAGTACTTAGTTTTCATCCACCTCGTTGCTTGCGATTGGTTCGCATTCTCCTACATGTACACCCCTTTACCGTTGATTGATCTGCATTCTTATTTTGTAATGCATTGAGGTTTCTGACATGGTTCTGCGCCTATTCGTCAAATGGGTGTGCATGCTTTTTTTGCTGCCTTTTATGCATCTAATGAAACATTTATACTATTCGGCGAGTGCTTTTCGACTATTTACCTCTGTCACGACGGATCTCATGTCACATATATTCACATGGAGTGGCTAGGCTGATGAAGGTCTAGAGTACAGCTGAGTAGATATAACAGCTTCGTCCATATATAACCTGACAATTTTTGGACAATTTTTTATTCTTGTAGAGCGGCGTCGGCTTATAAAAAGACTATACGCAGTTTGACAAAGGTCACATGCGAAATCCACCCAGGAATTTACTGCACATCTCTACCCCTATCTCCCTTAGCACCACCCGCTAGTGATGGACTGTATTCCAGACAAGGATTTGAAGTGCCTCATTTTTTTCCTACGATGGCTACGCAGCTGAGTGTCGTTTCTGTTGAGACATTTTTCGCGTTTCCATGGCTTTGGAAGGTCACAAGAAATGAAAGCACATCCCATCCCAGCTGCATCATGTGACGTCGCGTTAATACTGTTTTGGGTGCCTAATCAAAGGGTCTTATAAATTACGGTCACGACAACTGACAGGTAGTAGAGCAGCTTTTGCTTGAACACACTCAAATGTCAGCGGATATTCGTGGCGTCAAGGCCGTGGAGAAACAATTTCGTTTGTCTTTTGCTTGTTTTTTCGGAGGTCAGCTAATACAGGGACTTACGACCTTGGACAAATTTGATATTACAAAGCTATACTGTCGGCCTATCCATGGAAGGGCTTATATTCACTAATCTACGGTACTTAACACGGACTACGATTTCTTGACCGCTGACGAAGCTGAAACCAATCGTTTCCTGCAATTTGGTCATTTTTAAGCACCCGTTGTGTGTGAATGAATTGCGACGCCCAATCCCAATGAGGACCGCGGTTCCAATGGAAGTGAGCCTTGATCAATCTGATCAGTGGGACCGTAAACCGTAAAGCGGCTGACTGACGGGAGGGGTTGTTTGTTTTCCGCCGGCAACACCCAATATCTACCTGCTTCATCAGTTACGGGTGCTTCAATCAGTCAATAACCATTGTGACAAGGGTTGCCCGTCATGGTTGGCTGACTTAAAGTTAGTGGTTTCAGCTAACACCCCGAAGGCCCCGGGTTCGCGTGCCTGCCCTCTTTCTCTCTACCTGATGAGATCAAGCAAGTTCGAAACTGGTCATGGAGTGCAGTGTTTTGGGCCAGGCAATACCCGATTCCCCTTAGTGCATTATTCTTTGCATCGGCACTTCCTTGAGACATAACCTCAGTCGCACTGCGACCACGGAGTTTATTCGTACAGCCTTGTACAAGTTTTTTTACACGCACTGCACACGCCAAGAGAATGTAGTGGGAGTTTGTCTTCACCCAGCCGACTTTCTTCCTTTGCAACGAGACTGGACCTTAACGTGATATGATGGTTTGTGTGACTCAACAATCCACAGAGCTACGCTGAATGGTAATTTCTGCATCTTCAGAGCCCCATACCAGATTGGTCAATACTTAGAGGGCAGACTCACTCAGTCTCCTGGCCCTCCAGATTGGGAATTAAGGTGCGCGTGGTTCATTACTCCATAAAACGGACTCTGTAGCCTAGTGTCAAAAACCTGGTACCTTCCGGTCAGGTTTTTGAACCAGGCGTTGGTTGAGAATCCGAACCGTCCTCCTGTCTATGCCTGGGCAAACTGACTGTATTCTGCTCAAGCAATGCAATACAGTGAATTTCTCTACACACAGTATTGATACTCTGGCCATCGCAGAGGATAATCAACGGTGCCCTATCTGCTGCATCGGGCAGGGTGGATAGGGGTTTGCATACTACTGCTCAAGCCTTCCCATCTTCTTATTCCCGTTCTTGTGCTTTTTCACCCTTATCGTCCCGTTCCAACTTTACTTATATCCCCCCTGTTTTCAACCCCTCAATTCTCGGCCCTCCCCTACCTGGCTTCAATAGTCGCTTGTCTTTTAGTTTCAACTCGCAGATGAACGCGGAGCGTCATTCCTCCACTGTCAACAGGCCCATGTCCAACCAAGCGGTCAAGCCCAGTTCATCGGCTTCCATTTGGAGCCCTCGATCCTCCTTCAGATTGGCATGCCTCAATGTTCGCACATTTCTTCAGATCGGCAAACAGGCAACACTTGCCCGAACATTAGAGACCCTCTCGATCGATATCTGCTGCTTATCGGAGACCCGCTTGCAAGACTCGAGCTCTGTGATCCCCTTCAGGTGACGCAAGCAGTTTTCTCATTGAGCCTATCCGGTGACGATGCAGCTTCGAGCACCGACCATGCCGGTGTTGGTATTGCCCTGAGTCCCCGGGCTGAAGCTACTCTGGTTGATTGGATTCCAATCAATAGCCGGATGTGTGCGGTCCGATTGGCTGGCTCGTTCAAAACTTCGAAGACGCACGGGACTAATAGGTGTCTATTCGTTATCGCTGCCTATGCACCGACAAACTGTAGCGATGACTCGGTAAAAGACGAGTTCTATCGTCAACTGAACGAGCTCCTTAGCCGCAGACAAAGCTCGGACACTGTAGTGCTGGCCGGGGATCTGAACGCTCAAGTTGGAAAATTATCCACAGATGAGCGGCATCTGGGCGGCCAAGATGGTATAGGCTCCCGTAATGATAACGGTGAGCGGTTACTTCATTTGTGTGAGGATGCTCGCTTATTTCTTGCGAGCACTAATTTCCGACACACCACCCGCCGGAGGGTGACTTTGCGCTAACTAGTTTTGGACGCAAATCGATCACATTGCGATAAGTTACCGATGGAGAGGCTGCGTCCAGAACTGTCGCTCGATTTGGAGCACAGGTTTGGACACCGACCATGCATTGTATGTGCTGACCTGCGGATGCGCTTTGGCGGACACCCACAATGACGTTGGGAGCGCATTGACACCGGCCAACTAGCGAAGCAAGGTATTCTGAATAACTATCAAAGTACGCTGTCATGCGTGTTGGATAAACGCTCACTGTATGTAATTGAAGCACACTGGTCTCATATTCACCAGACGTTATTATCAGCAGACAAATCCTCATGTGGTATGTCTGATCGCCAACATGGACATTGGGTCTCTTCACAGTCTCTGGAACTTATAGATGCTCGCCGGCATATTCCGGCTGGAAGCGAACACAATGAAACTCGCAAAGGGCTCCGGGCAAAACTCCGTGCTAGCCTGAAGAGAGACCGCGAATGCTGGTGGTCTCTTCGTGCATCAGAGATGGAAATGGCCGCTGCCCTTGGTAACCATCGTAAGTTATTCCGTCTGATACGGTAAACTGGCAGCAGGAGACCTGGTGTTAGTGAAACAATTTGTGATGAGAGTGGACAGCCTATCCACAATTTGTCAAAACGTTTAAAGCGTTAGGCAAAGCATTTTGAAAAACAATTTAATCGGCCGGAATGGTTAGATTTCTCGCAGGCCACCGATCGCCCCGCTCCCTTGTCTGTTCCTTTGGATCTGCCCTCTCGCCCAGAAGTCGAACGTGAGATCGAACTGTTGGAGTTAAACAAAGCCGTGGGACCTGATGACCTTCCTCCAGCCCTCTTCAAATTCGGGGGACCTGCTGTTGTGGATGATTTACATGAATTACTAGTGAAACTGTGGGAGCAGGAAACTGTCCCAACCGATTGGAGCCGCTCTGTCATAGTCCCAATTTTCAAAGGAGGCTCACGATCGGAATGCGGCGGCCATAGAGGAATCTGATCTCTATTGCCTCTAAATTGCTTGCCTCTGTCATCCTTCACAGACTGACTGGCACTCTTGAAAGCCAGATTCGTGAAGAGGAAGCTGGGTTTCGTCGAGGTCGTGGCTGCATTGACCACATCTTCACCTTGCGTCAGTTGTTGGAGCACCGTCACACATACTGGCGGCCCACCGTAGTCGTGTTCCTCCATATCAAAGGTGCATTCGATTCGGTGGATAGACATGCACTTTGGGACTGTCTACTCAGGAAAGATGAAATATGTGAACATTATCCGAACATTATATGCGCGTAGCTCGGGCAGAGTGAGGGCTTACGGCAAGTTATCGTCGCCCTTTAATATCTCCAGCGGCGTGAGACTCGGATGCCCGCTGTCACCTTTCCTCTTCAACTTCGCTGTTGACGAAGTCATGGAAATCGCGTTTACAGGACACGACTTAGAAGGTGTGGATCTGCTCCCAGGAGAACGACTTCTTGACTTGGAGTATGCTGATGATATTGCCCTCATCTGTGACAGCTCACAAACGTGCCAAGCGGCACTGGACAGATTAGCACTAGTTGTCCGTCACTTCGGGCTTTGCTTCGCACCCTCGAAGTGCAAAGCGTTCCTCCAAGATTGGTCTGGACCGCCTCCTTTGCTGACCGTTGGTGGGGATCATCATCATCATCATTACACGTTAGCTGGAGGTGCAAAACACCTCAGCTATTGTGCCGCAATACAAAAGACAAGAATAGGAAAACAGTGGCACGCCCGCTGAGTCCCCAGTAACGGACGGACATCGTTCCGGAGAGCTAACAGCTGGCTGCCGTAAAAGAAAGTCATATTATGCCTAACAGATGAGATCGTGATTGGAGGGGGCTACTAAACAGGAGGGGGATGGACAAAGGAAATCACAACATAAACGCCATTGGTGCCGGCTCCTAGCCATATCAGCAAGTGTGTCCAACCAAACGTGTTCATCGTCCTTAGGACCCCAGGCAGGCAGTCGGGATGCACCAACCGACGCCAACTTCGAAGTGAGGGTTTTCATTTCTCTCGACCAAGTCATCACTTGGCCTCCCCTCCTCCTCTTCCAACCGCACCCACAACGCGCAAACAATGCACGTCGCGGGAGTCGGTGTGCTGGCATGCGCAACACGCGGCCCAGCCATCGGAGCCTGGTGCGTGATATAATGGTGCTGAGCGGTTCACTCGCTCTTCCTGCACCAAATACGCGACGTCGAACACGCTCATTGCTCACGCGATGTTCCCACCAGACATGAGCTAAGCTGCGAAGGCAGCGATGATCGAATGTGACGAGTCTCTTCATGTCAGTCGACCTGATGGGCCAGGTTTCACAACCA